ATTATTATTATTATTATTATTATTATTATTATTCAGGTTGGAATTCGTTAAGTAAAACCGAATAGGGGTCGCCAGGACCTGCATTAAAAAGCCTTGAGAGTCGCTCTTCTTTCATAGAAAAACTGTAGTGGGGGTTGTGACCGCATTTTGAATTTTTGAATTTGACCGCATGAATTACTTTTCATTTACTGTCTATTATTCACACCGTTACTTTCAACCTAGAAGACGTTGCCCAAGCACATGCGATAAATAAACGCGGTTTACTTTGCAATGTCAAGCAATCTGTCAGGTTGGTCATTTGAAGACAGCGCCTGTGATTTACATACGAAGATGTGGAATCAGATGTATTTCCTTTTCCGGAGTGCCAGTGTGGTGGATGATAGGACACCTATGTCAGAGTGCGTGTGGTGAGGTGCAAAGACCGGGGCCCGTGGAGCCGTCTCGAAACCCCGCATAAAAGTGTGTTTCTCGACTCGAGATTTCTGAAGGCATGAGAGGCGCAACTGTGCGGACCGGGAGTCGCAGTTCGACCCAGAGATGGATGTTTTCCTCTTTTAACTTTAACGTTGACGGCGTTTGATTTAACGACGCAGCGCCCCCCTGGTGTCTCGGAGGCGTCCTTGTGTTGTGGGTTTGAGAGGAGGCACAATCGAATCGCAATGAATCGTTTCTCGAAAGCACACCCGTGTTGTCATACGCCAGTTGGCATTTTCTTTTCTAGCTGAATAAAGAAGTTACCGATTCCAGTGCGGTGGTCGAGCCAGGCAGACGTGAAGAACATCAGACAAAAGCGCAACTCTGTAATCTCCCTTAAACCTTCCGAGAAAAGACGGTGATATGGTACACATCACCTCAGACCCAGAAAACACGGCTCGCCGTCTAAGCACGCAACGTTTGTTACAAGACTTCTTTAAAGCCCATATTAAGGAAACAGGAACACATGGTAGAAATTATAGGGTGTATGTGCAGTATACAAGGACACGAGCAGTTTGAAACCATTCATTTACCCATCTCGTATCATTTATGGAAGAAGAAAAAACAGAAAAAAGAATCCATCCTTTTTTCATTTTTTTTTGCCGTCTACTTGTATGCTCATGAACACAAGTACACGAACTACGGGTTTGGACAATTTCTTACAGAGTGCAACTCACCAGATGTGTAATTTGTACAAGTGAGATAAACCAGACTCTCCCGCGAGGTGGCGCCTTATTCCCACGGCTGTCAAAGTATTTGCTTCTGATCAGTATTTACAGAAACGAATAAGTAGGCAGAAAACTAGGGGGACAACATTTCCCATCAACACATCTAGACACTAAGAACTGACATACTGTACAAGTGGAACCCGTCAGCCACATTATCTACAGGGTAATGATCAGGATTTATTTCAATACGAGTGCTTCATTCTCAATCGTATTGATTCATACATAAGACACTACAAAAACCCCTACAGAATTATAGGAGCTATAAATATAATAGCGGACTATAAATACTAGATCGATATATCACACCAAAAACGACTGTCACTACGAACCACGTCATTCTTCGTTAAATAACACTATGTCACTAAAAGTAAGGTGCTTTTCGTATGCACGGAAAATGTAATCAGGACGGGTTGTCTTTGTGTGTAAGATGTAGTCATGTCAAACATTTCAGGTGCAAACCCAAGGCGCAAAATCGGATTCCAGTGAGCCGCCAGCCAGGACAGCGCCGACCCACGTTGTCTTGGCAGTGCTTGACCGGGAGGGGGCGCTGTGGCCCTGGGGGGCACCGTGCGGCCTGTTTCTCATGCCGGGCAGGTTAATCTACGGTCTGCGGGAAGAAATCGAGTCTTTTGAAGAGCTGGAGAAATGGGTCAGGTTCATATCCTTCGAAACTCCTCAGCCGCCCCTTGCAAAAGCGACATCGCCACATCTGAGGAGACTAACGACCTGCAGTAAAATGAAAAAAGTCGCCCCCCCTCCCCCGCGCTGAACAGGCAATAACCTGCATAGCATTTTTTTTTTAAAAAAAGGTCGAAGCATTTTGTGTCGCATTTTGTGAGGATACTGATGCGGGCTACTAGTGTGAAGGTACGTGCACGCAGGCGGGAGAGATGTCAATTTTCCAAAGCGCTTGCAAAACAGCGACTTTCCTGCTGCCTCGGGGGTGGGAAGTGGAAGATATCCGTGCAGGGCTGGTCTTCAGGCAGACCCAGCAGCCCTGTCCGGGGGCACGCCGCGGCCGCTGGCGTCACTGGAATGGCAACGCGGGTGAGACTCCCACCAGAAACAGGTCCTGCGTGGCGTCGGGACGGACAGGCGCGGAGGGGGCCTGGGAATTGGGGGCTCGCAGGTCGTGTTTTACAAGTGAAATGAAAGAAAGGACGCGTCTTGCTTTTTTTTTTGTAGCGCCGAACATCCACTCAGCCCGTAAGCACCACCCGATCTCCGCCTGCTTCCTTCTTCTGGATCCTTTCTGTCACACAAAAGACCAAAAACAACAGTTTATTCTTATTATGTCTCTCTTTTACAATATTTATATCACCGCATATCCGAACTGTAAATGCATTTCCCCTACACAAGTACTGTTGTGTTTTATCTTCGTATTCTAAATGCTAAATGAACTAACCAGGCTTCATGTAACCCCTATCCTATTCTCTCACATATCAATGTAGGTAACAGCTCTTTTGATGGAAGACTTTCCTAACAAGAGAACAGAAGCAGGGGTCGTCGTCAGCAGTGTTTTAACGGCTACACCCGGGGCGTCAGCCTCCACAGACTGCCCGCACTTTCTCTGCCGCACAATACAATTCACCCTCATGTGTCGGCGTTTTTGTGTCTTTCCCTAAAATAGCATTCAAGAGATGGTTTTTCAAAGAGCTGCGCAGGTGGAGGTAATATAACGTCAACAGTGGGGCTGTACAGGAGAAAGTGCCCGTGTCTCTGCTTTACGGAAGAGCCTGCCAGCGGGTGTCAAGTGGGAGCACTGCCACCTGCTGGTAATAAGATGCATAACGTGCAATAATACAGCGGACTTACCCAACTCTCACCTCTCAGGTGCACGGTGGTCTGATGCTTCTCACAGTCCTCCTGGCTCTTCAGCTGTCGACGTCGGCCTGTGAAGACGGTTATTCAGTTATTTCTTCGCGCTTGAAACGCAGACACGCACCTGCCTGCAGAGTTAACATGCGCCGGTTTTTACCTTTCTTTCTCTCCCTGCTGCTGTGGCGGCGGCGGCGGCGGATCCCGCTGCTGCTGTTCCTGTTCCATCCTGCAGGGGGCGGAAGAGACTGTTACCGAGTGACCGAAACAAACGCGTCGGTCTGAGAGGATGTTTCTCTACAAGCACCACAGCGAGAGCCAGCTAAGGCCTCTGTTTAATGTCCGTTGTTAATCTAGACAAGTAAAAACCACGTCTTTCCCTAGATATTGACTGCATCTGCTTTTCGTTTGTTTCCCGATTAGACCTTATACTAAATGCTGCCAACTATAATGCTGGTTCGGATCACCGCAAGGCTGGGAGCTCACTTTAAATCTGACACATTTCTGCCATTTGCTGACAGCAAAGCCGCAGGCGAGCCAGGCAGCAGCTGCGTGTGATGAGCAGGGCAGTAGCCGTGCTCGATGCGTTGCGGTGGACTGAGACCCTGCCTGGCCTCTGTGGGCCTCGTGCGCGTGGCCGTGACAGCCCCCTGTGTTTCTGTGGCTTCCGGCGTGTTCAGTACGTGGTTCTGGAGCAGAAGGAAGTATAAAAAAAGATCTATTTCACCTCTCTTTCCGGACCTTAATTCTCTCCTCTTCATACCTAAAATTAAAATAGAAAACAAAACCACCATTACCAGGTTATCATTGCAATACGCTGTTACAATATGAAGGTGTTGTTTGAGATTAAGACGTTGTGATCCATGTTTGCAACCACTCAGCTCAACATTTTCACTTGTAGTGGATATAATAATAATAATATCACTTTATTAACCCTTTACAATTTCTTGCATGAGGAATTATCTTTTCGCAGACCCCAGCTTGCTCTCCATGAGACACAGACAGGGAGAGAAGCCTGGGATCAGAGCGCAGGGTCTGCCATTGTATGGCGCCCCTGGAGCAGTTGGGGTTAAGGGCCTTGCTCAGGGGCCCAACGGGGTAGGATTCCTCTGCCGGCTGTGGGATTTGAACTGGCAACCTTCCAGCCACAGGCGCAGGTCTTAGCCACAGAGCCACTGCTCCGCCCCAAATATTTTACTTTATTCAAATGTATGCATTTTTATTTTATTTCATTTCATACTAAATGCATTCAAATGCAGTTATTGTACCAAACCATTTCTATATACCCCAGTTGGAAACCCCAACAAGCTAAATGGAGCCATTGGCTTCCTCTCGAGTGTGACGTGCTTGACTGCTGCCCTCTGGCGGCCGTGTGCACTTACTGTAGCAGGCACTCCGGGATCTGCACGTGCTCCATCGGAATGATCTGCTCGAGCTCCTCCAGGCTGTGCACGTAGCGGATCTTGTTCATGAACTTCACGCTGCGCGAGACACGGGGACACTGCTGTGACGCGGGCTGCCGGCTCTCAGACACCAACAGCAAACTAAGTTCGCAAAGTAAGTATTTGTTTTCAAACACGACCCAGTTCCATCTTGCAGTACTAACACACACTGCCCTAAGTGCACCTTGTGAAGACTTGTGTGAGCTCTCTAGTGAACACGATTTGCATTGTGTATTAAATACAGCAAGACTTCTATACTGTAGGCATGATTCCAAATGTCTAATTTGGATGCTGTAAATTATTTGGTTCTTTTATATTTGTCTAGTTTCGACATTGAATCACCTCCTAACTTAAAATTACACTGGGATTAATGGATGATGATGTGCGTGTATTTATTCACTCATTTATGTGAATGAATCATCTTTATTAGATATGAGGCCACGAAGACGTGAAAACAAACGATTAGGAGCTGCCTGGAGAATGGCGTGCTCTCTGGCCCTGGCTGGCAGTGGGTGCTAGGAGTCCTGCAGCCCGTATCCCCCCTCCCAGTCAAACCCAGGGCACCCTCTCACCTGATGAAGGGCCTGGAGATGGCCAGCACAGTGCGGATGAACCAGGAAGGGTGAGCGATGATCAGAGACTTCAGGTTCTTCCTCAGCCTTCGGAGTTGCAGACACAGACACACACACACACAAATAAAACTCCCCTCTAGGTCAGAACCAACCGGCCCTGCATTTCACCTGCAAAGACTCAACACTGGAAGAAACAAATACTACTTTTGGGCAATTGCTCAAAATGAACCTGCCGCAGATGTTTTTTTTTTATCCCTAGTGACATTCGATATCCCGTGTGTGGGGCACCTGCGAAGCTTCCAAGAAAAGTGGCCTGATCTGAACTACAGCAGGAGAGAACTCTTGAGTGTGGGTAAGTGCCGGGACCGAGATGCATGAGAAAGAGATGGTTATTAAATCGCAACACTGTTTTTGATTCTAATCCAAACAAACATGCATGCAGCAGGGAAATGACATTCGTGAACAGAGAAAGCCCAGAATGCACCACCCCCGTGCATGACTGTTCTGTGTAGCCATCTTTGCACTGGTGACAACAGGTGTCCGATGTGCTCGATGATGGGACCCCACAAGGAAACGTCGTTCATTCTATCACCCCTCCCGTGGCGCACACAGATCCCTGTGAAAGCCCTCACCTTCTGTCGATCATCTGGTAGCACTTCTTGAGCCAGACAATTCCAGGCATCCTCCTCCGAGGGGTGGCTCCGTTCAGGTAGATGATCATGTAATCCTCTGCCACCAGGAGCTCCAGGCTGCTGATCACATACCTGTTGTTGGGGGCCACAGAGAAAAAAAGAGAGAGAACACTGGCTCTCAGCCCCCAGCTGTCACGAACTGCACGGGAGCACCTCTCCCTGTAGACATCCTCGCACTAATTAATCAATCATCATTCCACACGATCTTCCCTTTTTATACCCTCTCACTCCACTGAGTCTCCACTCACTATTAAGGTTCCCTCTCTCAAGCTCAACCTGCATCCTGCCCTTTTGGAACGACACTTTAGCCTAATCGACTTTTGGCTCTTGAAACCCCAGCTAAATCCCTTGACTACGGCTTCGCTTTTACGTTTTCGGACTTGGATACTTTTGGTACCGTACAGAACCTTTCCGGGAAAGATCTACCCCGGGATCTAACCAGCCGCTGACACTAGCAGAGCTACAGGAAGAGACCTAGCTGCTGAAAGACACTGAATGCGTTTGTATGGAGACGACGATCTTGATGTAAAGATCTAGTACGAAGAGTTCTTCACACAGCTTGACATAAAGAACAACTGTCAGATGCCATTCCTTAAAAAAAACATTGGATCCTGCTTTTTAAGACATGGGTGAAGAAAACTGTTATCCAGTCAAGCAAACTGAATGTTAAGATCACAAACCTATACTGCTCTCAAGTGGAGCTTGGTCCCACAATCAGAAAAAACATGCTGCTGTGCATCTCTCACTGCCCAGGGCTCTGTTTTACAGTAAAAGGATGGAGAGGGTGGAATCCATACAAAGCGGTATTCAGGATGTTCCATGGCTGCTGCCATGCTTCAGCGTCTCTTCTGACGCAGGCTAGGTGAGTAAAGGGCAGACTCTATCCTGCAGTGGGATGCTTACAGGAAGAGGTTCTCCATGATGTAGTGGTAATCTGCGCAGTTGCTGTCTGGGAGGTAGCAGGCTGCAAACACGATGATGGCATTCAGGCCTTCTCCGTAGTAACCTGCGGGGAGAGAGGGCGGAATCTCATGGGAAGGCTGGGAAGCTCAGCAAACTGCCAGAGACGATGGAGAATTTCTGATTGCCTTCGAGTGCATCCCAGAGACTTGCAGTGCAGGTATAGGTATAACAACACTGTTGTATCCAGTAATTCAGTGTCAGTCAATGCATTGATCGTTTTATAGAAACTGTCACAGAGCACACGCATGGAAGGCACTGTAAAGACTGTGTCCAGTGCATTGCAAATACAAAGATGAAATAATGTATAATATAAAAATCCATGCATGTGCAAAATGAACTATGAATAATGGATAGGTCGAGTTTGTTTCTTCTGGATAAGGTTTCATGGTTTGCAAGCTCTTGTCATAGTTCTTTTGTACTGGGACACAGAAGCACTCAGTGGAGTGGAGCCAATGTGCACTGCAGGCTGAACAAGGTCATAACTGTGTTTAGGTTTAATGTGCAATAAGATGATTAAATGTGCTTCTTTCTGACTTTCTCTGTCCTGCAACAACTGTCAGAGTTTAAATGGCCCCTCCGTTGGGGTCATGATAGGTCTTTCAGCTATTTTGTAAGCCGAGCTGAAGAATAAATAATGATAAGAGAACTTGTCAGTGCCGTGCACTGTGAGGGGCGAGCTCGCGTGGCTGATATGGTGAACGCACTCACCCCCGTGGGTGATGACACGCAGGTAGGGCCTGATGACTTGCATGTCGATACGGTGCTCCTGCTCCCCGATGATCACTGTCCTCCACAGCCGCCCATTAGACGCTGACCCCTCCCCTTCCTCTCCGGGCAGCCCCGCCCCCTCACTGGGCGGAGCCTTGGCTGAGGCGACCGGAGTGTCATCTGAAACACAGAGGAAACTGTGTTCTTATGAACCTTTTAATGGTCGTTACACTAATATTTAATGAATACATGGCTTACACTGCAGACTTCAGGACACTCACAAACAAGACCTTTAAATAATTTGTGAGGATTTCTCATAAGCCATTAACAGTCTGATAAGTTGGTAAGCAAATTATATATATACATATTATAAAGGAGCTCCTGTAGCCTTTGTGTAACAGACAGCAGATAACTGGCTACTACTTTAGGACCAGTATGTCATCATACAGTACTAAACTGACAATTTTAATGTCATATTGAATTTCCTCACTGTTTTTCTTAATCCCCAATACCAGCTGACAAACAAGGTCAGAAAGAGCTTTTTCTCTTCTCAATTCCATCCTACGGAAAGACACCTAGGCTTTCTGTACCACAGAACCCCTGCATCCCAGTGACCCTTGACCTCTGACCCATGCTGACCTTCCCACTCCAGCTCGTTGCCGTTGGTGATGAACTCCAGGGAGTCGGTCTCGTCGGGTGTCTCTATGTCATCCACGTTGATGTCCAGGTCATCGGGGGTGTCCAGGAAGTCGTCGGAGAGCAGAGAGCCCTCGCTCTGGTCAAGGGACAGGTTCATCTCGGGGGCCACCAGGGTTCTCCGCTTCCGATGAGCCGAACTCCCCCCTCCACCCCCACCCACGTTCAGGGAGTTGGGAGGAGCTGTGCCGAGAATCCAGAGAGAGAGTACAATGGTGATCAATAGTAATAGTAACGCTATATACCTTTGCAGCTCACAACTGGGAGCCCACTGAAGCTCAGCAGCTGTGAGCCTGGCCAGTACCTGGATGGGAGACCTCCTGGGAAAAACTAAAGTTGCTGCTGGAAGAGGTGTTAGTGGGGCCAGCAGGGGGCGCTCACCCTGAGGTCTGTGTGGATCCTAATGCCCCAGTATATTGACAGGGATACAATACGGTAAAAAAAAGGTCTTGTCCTTTGGATGAGACAAAAAACTGAGGTCCTGACTCTCAGCGGTGTTTCTCGAAAATTTCCCCCTGGTCTTTACCAGTCATGGCCTCCTAATAATTTCCATCTATGACTTAATTTCCATCATCACTCTGCTCTCCTCCCCACTGATGTGTGGAGAGAGTACTGGCGCATAATCCAGATGGGGCTGCACACTAGTGGTAGTGGAGGGGAGCCCCCATTCCCTGTAAAGTGCTTTGAATGGGGTGTCCAGAAAAGTGCAGTATAAGTGTAAGGAATTATTAATTATTATTTTAAATTAATGGTGAGTACTACGTTAAATTGCTTTACGGTGTCATATAAATAGAAAATACTCCAAATCTGTGTTGGAAAAGGAGGCTTGCATAGCACTGTTTAGTAAGAGAAGATTATAAGTGAGAAACAGAACATCTTAATGTTCTCAGTCTAATTCAAAATAAAAAAAAACCCACGTAGACCAGATATGGCTTGAATCTGCTCAGACTCATGATTTTACAGCAGTTCTGACGAGCTGGTTATCTGGATGTAACGCTGGATGTGCTGCCTAGGCTGGGACACGGCGGCACTCACAGTTCCTGTTGTCCGTGAGGCTGCAGGAGGACTCCATGTCTCCGTCCTCGGGGAGGGGCCTGCAACAGAGGAGGACAACATCATCACTGCACCCCCCCACAGCCGCACAGACGGGACCAGACGCTCTCCACAGCAACCGCAACCAAGCCCAGCAGTAAACAGTCAAGAAAAAAAACCCTCTCCAAAGAAACACTTGCTGCATCCTGACTTGTGGCAGCCCCCTTTGAGGCAGTGTAGATCAGAATGTGGGCTGGCTCAGTGCTGAGCGATTGTGTAAGCACTCATTCAAAACACTGACTGGACAGCTTGCAGTGTGGCGGTTCTTCTGCCGTCTGCAAAAACAAAAAGCTTGGATTCGCACCACAAGATCTAGTTTCAAAGTTCAGATAGTGTGACACAGAGGTGCCCGAAACTCTGAGATCGACAGACGTGAACAGTGCATATCCCAGCTCTTTAGAATATAACTACAGATCATGCTCAGCTGAAGTTTTGTCTGCTTGTTGCGCTGGTACAGGAGGGAATGGAAAACAAGCAAAATGTTTTTGCATCAGAACCCTGTTCTGTACAGCTTCCAGAATTCCAGGGGAGGCCTGACTGACACTTCCCTGCCCTGGCCATTCCTGTGGCGAGCAGGCTGTGATTCCCACAGCCTCCTCTCTGTTCTCTTCTGCCAAAATAGCATCCCCTGACTTTGTGGAAGACGGTGGAGACGGAAGGTGGTGGTGGGGGGGCACGGCGGGAGCAGAACAGAAGAGGGATAGATACCACACATCTGTCACTCGAGCCTGAGCCCCCGAGACAGGGTGAAGCCCTGGCCTTTCCAAACCCCATCGACAGCTGTGTCTGCACACTGTGCAGTGCAGTCATACACAGGCTGGGTATCCCTCTGGGCAGCCTGCTGCTTCATAACACACAGCTCCGCTGCAGTGCTCCACACAGACCTTATATTTTTCTCTACTGCGTTAAGAAAGGAAAATGCCCTGCAGGCAGGCAGGCACCCCCCCCCCCCAATCCATCACCCTCATGCAGAGGCCATAAAAGCCGTGAAATCAAACCAGTGCAGCCATCTCTTTCTCTTACCTATTGGTGGTACGGAGGTCTCAGGCTTCCTCCTTTTCTCCTGCAGTCTCCTGTTTTAAATGCTCTGCTCTGCACACCGAAGCACAACACAGGAGCACACACGCGCGCTGTGCACACCACAGGACTTGCAGTGAAGCTGCTGCTCCTTTTTCCCCCCCTGCCTAAGCCTGTCCTGCCTCCATTTTCCTGGAGATGATGCTGTGTTGTTGACAGCCCTCGACGTCACATGACGTCGGGTTTTACCATTTAAGGCTTGGGTGGCACCTGCTCCCTTTCGTGCTTGAATGAGAGGCGCCATTGTCTCCCCCCCCCCCCTCTCCCCCCATCGCACAGTCTCTCTGCCTCCTCGTTCTGTTTCAGGGACTGGAGCATCTCACAGGAGGAGCGGCCTGCTCCTCAGAGGCGCTCAATTATATAAGGACTGCTGAAACGCGTCGGTGTCTGCTTTGCGTTGCATGACGGAAATTAACCTCGATATGAAATTCACATGAAACAAAATAAGAACTAGCTTCTGCGATCGGCTGTGCAGAAGCAGTGTGGAGCAGCTCGGCTGCTTTCCATGTGAGACAGAAAGATTGGGTGTTTGTTGGATCAGGGATTCTGCATGACAGAGAATTTCCCACTCTTGATTCTTTATTGCATTTCTGTTTTTCACACAGAAAACCACTGGGTCTCGCGTGTACGAATTTAGGTTGACATGGATTTGGACTCTCAGAACATGCTGCAGGTTAAGCTGATCAATGGGTACAGAAACATCTCCATCAGTTTACAGGAGCTGGGTTCCACCAGTGCATTAACACTGGAGTGGATTTGCTGGAAGAGGTTGGAAAATAATTTTCACAGCTGCTTCCCTGTCCCTTCCTCCCTCTGTCTCTATTTTGGACTCTCCTCCCCTTCTGTTGTCATGGCAATACCATTACGCCAGCTCTGCGGCGGTTTAGACTTCACCCCCTCTCCTAAAAGCACATTACAAAGGGTACGAGTGAAAGGAGGATACTTTCGCCTGGTAGCCCATTGGGTTGCTAGCAGCTAATTTTCAGAGCACACTTGCCTTGTCTTGCGTTTGTGTGTTTCAGCATGTGTGCATGTGCGCTCGGGTGTGTGGCAGACAAGATTCAGTAGGGGCACTCAGTAAGTGCTGCCAAAAAAACAAAATCTACAGCCGTTTTTTTTTTTTTGTTCACATCCCTGGCCAAAACCAACTCGCTCGGCAGAGCTGATACGGTCTTTTACGCTCTTCTCTGCTCTCCTCCCCACTGGTAGCTGGTGTGTGGTGAGCGTTCTGGCGCACTATGGCTGCCGTCGCATCATCCAGGTGGATGCTGCACATTGGTGGTGGTGGAGGGGATCCCCATTACCTGTAAAGCGCTTTGAGTGGAGTGTCCAGAAAAGCGCTATATACGTGTAAGCAATTATTATTATTATTATTATTATTATTATTATTATGTAAAAAAAATACAGTGCCACGCAGTCCTAAAAACTCTTTTTAAATTTAGAGTCAATAATTATTTTTGGTTTTTGATTTGGAATAGCCAGGTGTGTGTTTTATTAGGCTTGGCTCTCAGCAGTGAACCATGTAAGCGCACACAGGGGAGGGTGAGGACGTACAGTATAGACTCCTCCAGCCTGCCCACCTTTGCGACACTCATCTCTGAGCATGTGACAGGCAGCACCGTACTGTAGTATCTGAAGAACAACATCCCTCACCTCAGGCTCAGCTCTAATTGGAGGAGAAGCGTATCCCTCACTGAGAGTCCTGCATGCCTGTGAGGGCTTGGAGAGAGCCCTGGATCACTAATCCCATCCTACGCTCTGTCACAATTACTGGCAGCTTGGCAGTATTTCCCAGCTCTGATCCTGGAGGAACAGGGGTCTGCTGAGCTCTCAGTCTCGAGTGCTAATTGATCGATGACTTAATTGACTGGCTTGTTAGACTTTTATTTAACTTGTTTCTTTGGTCAGCCTTGGCTGTCAAAAATTTAGAAGCCTCAAGGGTACTGGAAAGACGGAACTTTATACAAAAAATTTGACAGGAAGCTGCGTCTAAACGCGAGCTGTCGAGCCTTTTTCAATTACCACATCTAAAAAAAACATAATGTTTCTTTTCCTTTCAGCATGGAATAAACCTTTATCTGCTATCTTATAACCTTTATACATCTTATTCTGACCAGGCTTGACATTATTTCTTATCAAACAGCTCTTGCTAGTTGATCAATTGATGAGTTTGTTTTCATTCCGCAGAGCTCCAATTACAGGCAACACAACTCAATGAGGCCAGTTTTGAAACCCAGAAATTGGTGCAGGGTTTCAATTGGCCTGTGATTAAGACCCAGTGTCCTTCCAGGACCAGGTTTGAGACCTGACTGGGCTACTGACATGACCTTCACAACCCTCTAAGAACGTCAGTGAAGTCAATGAACAGGAGGCACCTCTTTATACAAAGGGTGGTGGTAAAATGAAACTTCTACCGCACAATACCACTAAAACACTGGCATTTTTCAAGAAACTGCTGGATAGGCTCTTTGGATCATATGGCTGATAATTAACTCGTTGTCTAGATGGGGCAAATGGCCTCCTCCTCTTTCTTAAGTTCTTCTTATATATAAAAGTCCATATTGGGCAGATATTAGGTCAGTCAGCCAACAAAATAATATATGTCTGGCCAAAGTTGCTGATCTGCTACTGTAAGTTGCACTGGTTTAAGTGCTGTTTGTGGTTTAAAGAGAACTGGACAACCTGGCCTTTGGGAATCAGCTCTTTCATTCATGTCCTTGCTTGTCCTACCTGGGGAAGTCCTCGTCCTGCCACTCGTCCTTCACCTCCATGTGCTCCATCCGCAGGGTGGCCTCCGTGGTGCCCATTGCTCTGGGGTTGTAAGGGGCTGGCGTGGGGCAGGTGCCACAGCTGCAAGAAACACAGGAATGACCCAGACTGGAGAGAATGCGGACTGGTGTGCTGCGCAGGGGATTCGGAATGGGAAGGGCAAACAGAGCAGGAAAGAGAAAACCAAACCCTTATATTGCAGCGCACTCAAGACGTGAAAACGGGATTGTTCTCCTGAGTGCCATGTGACGTGCGTGTGACCCAATATCCCCTTGACCGCCGCCCCAGAAAAGTCAATCGCATCGCAAGAATTTCCCTCCCTGGTCCAGAAGTAAATTTCCTGAGCCCAGAAAAGATCCTGTTCATTATCCTCCTAATACGTTTCTGATCTGCCACTTTTTTTGACATTTTCAGGCCTTCGCCCCTCATGTAAACAGAGGGTACCACGGTTTCCAGTGGTCAGGTGACCTCTTCTGGTGCCCATGGTATGATGTTGTAGGAGTTTGGGTGTACTGTATATTGTATATTGCAGTATTTATGGAAAGTCTGCACGTATAGTTTGTTTGGAGAAGTGGTGCAAGTCTATTTTTTGCGTGAGCGGGCTTAATTTCCACAAAGAGTACTTGAGCATATGCACCCAGGCATGGGTTAATGTGGATTCCTCTGTACAGAGCCCACACACACACATCCCGTGGGCAGAATCTGATGGAGTGTGGTGTGTGCTTAGTCCTTTAACAGCAGCAAGCCTAAAGACTGCATCCTTTTGTATTACGTGGCTTATGGCTGTGGTTGTGGCCATGGTCAGTTTCTTTCATTGACAAACGCCTCGCTTTCTCTTCAGAACAGTGCACGCCTATGGGAACTAGCCAAAAAACAAGCCAGAGCTTGACAGGTAGCAATCTGATACAAGACACAGAGGTTGACTTGATGACAGGCATGCAGAAATGGTGTGGTTGAGTGTCACTGGGTCAAGAGAACGGTGCATTCGGTAGCAGGGGTCTCAAGGGAAACTCCCACATTTGGTGCAGGTGCATTGCCTGATGTTAGCCAGCACCATAATACAACATCTGTCCTAAATTAGCGAGGCTTTGCTCTACATTATCTTAGGGAGAAAAAAAAACAACAGATTGTAATGGTTTTCATAGCGCAGTGAGAGTAAATGCAATGGTAATTAAGTGAGTCAGTGTTCATTTTGTCTAATTAATTTTTATTGCTCCTTTTTGGGCATTTGAGACTGTAGACTCATGTCGCACTTCGCTCCCACGCAAAACCGTAACAAAATCAGGTGTTACTCACTTGAAGCCATGATCTGTAAACGATCAAAACGTTGTGCCCTGCACAGTGCTGCTCTGCGATGTGGCTGTGCTGAGCAGCACTGACTACAGAACGGACACCTGTGTCAAGAAGGGCACCATGTGCCCCCACTATGGCACCATGCAAGAAAGCCCACATGTGTGGCCAGTCACAGAAGCCATCTCTGTTGGCACAACTACCCTGACTGGGTTTCAACACATCAGCGTCTATTTGAAACGGCTAATGTGTTTCTGTCTCTTACAGTATATGTGTTGATGTATTCCTTATAACTGTGTTACATGTCAAAACCGTTGTAACTTAAAATGACTTTCGAGTAGCTGAAACCGTGGAAAGGTTTCAATGAAGCAACTTAGGGTATGGCTCTATGGAGAACCAGAAGCTGTGGGGTCCCTTGGTTTGGAATCGGAAATCCCTGTGGGAGAGTACCCAGTTTTCTGGGCCAATCAGAGAAAAGGCAAAGAATTTCAGTCCGTTGTAAAACACATTTAAGCAAGATCCCTTAGACTGTGGCAGAGTGGTTGTTTTAGGCGCGTCAGTGCATGCGGAATACAAACCATCACAGAGCAGCCCCGTGTACACAATGCCCTCCAGGTACAGCCCGCTGTGTTCGGAAAATACGGAATGAAAGGACTGTGCGCCATTCCAGTGCTGCTATTCTGCATGTGCATTCTCCTGCGGCGTTATATGGAAGAAAAAGCCCACCGGCGGTCTCGGAAGAAGAGCAGCAGATGCTGCGAGATCTGCCGTGAGGAGGCGTGTGTGCCAGATGTGTTACACAACGGAGAATATGTATGTCGCGGTCACCCACCAACCAACGCTGAAACCCTACAGCTGTGTGAGAGGGGCGAGAAACAAAAGCTTCTCCATGTTTTTTTCGGTACTCAATGACACTCTCCGCTCCCACCAGTCATTAAAAAAAGCATAAAATACTCACATCTGGGGAAGGATGCCCGTCTCCTGCTGCGTTATTGCGTGGTTTTCCTCTCTAGAGCCTTTTTTCCCCAACCCCTGTCCTCTGTTCCGGTCTCAGTGTGGGCCAGAGGCAGCTGCTGGTGCCCGGAGCCAGAGGCGGTGCATGCCGCCGCTGTCCAGGTGCCTCGGTCCGCGCTGGAGTGCGGGGCAGGCGCGGGGCGAGGCGGCGGCTGCTCGCTTCTGCAGACAGATACAGCAGGACCCGAGCCCCCCTGTCGTGTGGGTGGGAGCGCAGGAAAGACAGGGACACGGAGCCCTCTCTCGCAAGGCGGCGGGGGGCTCTTTTAAGATGACAGCCCTGCTGTCCTGCTCCCCGTAAAAATCAATTCCTCGCCGCAGCTACACCCAAAATGCCTGGTCAGTCCCTTGTCTTCAGCCACTCTCTTCAATCATTATTCCTCGTAGCCCTCCGTTCTCTCATTTGGTAACGAGGTCTCAGCTGCCCCTTCTTCTCTCTCTTTATATACAGTATATATTCCGGTACTGTTTTTGCAAGGTGATCAATGGTGGTCTTTGTGTATTAATTTATCCCTACATATAAAATTCCTTGTGGGTTTTTATCCATCTAAGACGGATCTCCAGCACTTCTGTTCCCTGGCAACAGCATCCCCTTTAATTTCTCTCTATCGCTATCCGCCTGTCTGTCTTTACCTCACTGCACCGCCCCCCCCCAACATCTCCCTCACAGTCCCCTCCTACCAACCCCCCCGCCCCCCACGGTGCTCAGTGCGGTGTCAGTCAGCAGCAGGAACCATTCCCTGTTCTCCAAGCTGTGCTGCACTTACCTGCTTTCCGGACTGGGTCAATCACACAGCCTGCACGAATCCGGTCTCCAAGAGCTGTAGAAACCTGCAAAGGGAGTGTTCTGCTTTATACTGCTCTGACCTGTTCATTCATTTCTTCAGTGCTTCCAGTCACAGCCCTTAGGATAATTTTTGTGTTCTCGGCACAGCCAAAAGGATGAAGCATTTCAAGGAAAGCGCAGTCTGCAGCATACCTGAAAAGCCTGTAAAAAGAGTGATTGTACACAACTGCAGCGTGAAAGAGCGTGATTACCAGGGTAAATGAGGGGGGCACTGTGGCGTTATTGCTCTGCTGCCCCAGAATGCGTGGATCCCGGTAGCAATTCCCAGAGTGGCCTTCTCTGTGCCTGCCTGCCCACCCCATTGGTGGACTGAAAGAGTGGGTGGTTTTTGTCCCACCAAAATGAGTTTTTTGCAGAAGTGAATAGGGAGGCTAGAGGGCACAGGGTAAAACTAATGTGGTTCTGTGCTCTCCATCCACTTGGTATTACCTGAGCTCTGTAGCCGGTGCAGCAATAATAATAATAATAATAATAATAATAATAATAATAATAATAATAATTGCTTACAGTTATCTAGCACTTTTCTGGACACT